CGATCCGTAATCATTTATAGGTTAAATGTTCAGATATACTTTCAAATATCTCTAAGCATATATGAGCCTTTCAATTGACAGAATGACTAACTCCAATTTCAACAGTCTTTATTGTACATTCTAGTGATGTTTCTAGTGGCAAAATTTATACCGTAATTCATAGTTCTGTATTTTAACACTGCAATCGCCTACTTCGGAATCAACTTACTGTCAGTATAGATAACTTTTTCAACTAGAAATATCACTAAATTACATTACTAAAAAATCTTGAAATTGGAGTTAGTCATTCTGTCAACTGAAAGGATCAGAGACTGAAGTTGTGGTTTATAAAAGCAGATGGAGTAACTATATTTTTATTGACTACCGTTGATATAATAACTAGACTTTTTGTAATTTTGATGATTTGTTATCTGTAAGCTTTAACTCCGTTTAAAATTCACTTCAAAAATATTATAATAGTCCAGCATTGCCAGAAAATAATTTCTATTCCAACTAGAGCGGTAAGTGAAAGTTGTGTGTTGCGCGCACCAGATTTTTCTTATATATATCTCGTGACCTGATGATCATAAAACTGATTGGTTTTCGTGAGAGGGTGATTTATTGCTCATTACTTCTTAAAAACAATGCAAGCAAAAGTAGAATTAGAAACTTGGTATTTTATATATTATTACACTTTCTGCAGTCTCTTCCATGCTTCTCCTTGTCTTTTTTTTAAACTTTTCATTCCAAAAATTCATAATCCTATCGAAACGTGACCCTATCAAAAAATCAAAACTCCGTGAAAATGTGCCCCCCTAAAAAATTTAGATGGCGCAACTTGCGCCATAAAACCCCCTTCTATACATCTCTGCTTCTACCCACTCAAGAGATACAACAGGAAACGTGAATGAAAAATTTTAAATATTTAATTTTTTAATTTTACGAGATCACCATAAATGCGTTTCCATATAATCTTTGAATGTCAATATTCAATGTATAAATATATTTCATTTTTAAGTTTTTCCTCTCGTATCCAATCCTTACAATCCAAAATCCTTCGTAAAATCCTCAACGCTCCTTACTTTGTCACAAATAAAATCATCCAGATAATATATGATATATGATAATATATATGATCCATGATGATACTTAATGTTCCATATGTTTCCGATTTGGCCCAATCCAGATACCTATCCTTCCATAAAAAAAACTCCAGAACCTTCCGAACCCTCTCGTTTCAAACCTTGCTTCCTCCGAGGAGTCTGAAAAGAAGATGGCCTCGTGATCTACTTATGTAAATATATGATTAGAGTGCTACCAATGGGTTGTTTCTCAACAAGCGTTTTCATGTAATTGTATTATTACTGTGTGCACATTTACTAATTGTATTTTTTTTTATAATACAGTTGTAAATATCAATGAATAAAAAAAACGAAAAAAAAAAAGAATGTTTAAGTTTTTCGACCAGTGTCTTGGATGGAATCACTTTAGTCGAGAACCTTTTTTTCGATTATCTCCTACTTCGCCATTTATGGCAAACGAGAAGGAGGAGGAGGGTTGTTCTAGAGATACAATCAAACCTATTTTAACCAGACTAGGAAGGTCGAGATTCATCTCGTGAGCCCGCCACGAGATGAATTTCAACCCGGCCATCTCGATCTCGTTGATCAAGAACCATAACCATGTAAATGGGTTATGTCAAGTCACGGCAAGGTCTGGAGCTGGGTTTTCTTTCTTTCTTTATTTTTTCTGTTGCCATTTTTGCGGCCTTAATCAGCCTTCTTCACCTCTGCCTGTCTTGGGCCATTTCTTTCCAGTTATCTGCATGCTGCTCTACTGCATTTTTGTTGATTCGATCTATCCATTGCTTTTTGGCCTCTCTTGGTCCTAAGCTACTATTGAGGCATTCATTATTGTGTACAGGCTTCTATATGGATTACTCTGAGCTATATGCCTCGCCCATCGTAATCTCCTTACCTACTACATATTATGAGATATTGAATTACCACTTTCTGTAAGCAACGCTTTATTGGTCTTTCTACGCGATGTGTTAATATACTGATCCCAGATAGCTCCGATTATCGTGCCGAGGATATTTCTCTCAAACCTTTCAATACTTTTTCTAGGGCGCTGGGCAGTATCTAGGTTTCACAACCGTATATCATAACATTGTACAGCTTTAATTTTAAATTAAACTGAATTATCAGATTCGCCTGCTCAGAAATAGATTTTGGAGGACTTGGATTGTGAAGAAAATACTGGATCGGTAAACTCGCTTATTGCTCTTTTAAGCAAATCACTGATCGCTATATATATTTTTTTTCTTTCTTTAATTTATTGAAGGGAATCCCGTCGGTACTTGTTGACTTTTAATTGATGGGTATTTCAAGTAGATAAATAAATAAATAAGATTAGCAAAATAAAATATCAAAATCACAGGCCAGACCTGAAACGGAAAGAGGGAAATTGATATAACGCTTTTTTTTTTTTTAAATTCTTTATTTCAAAGTCACTTATTGTAAGTAACAGCTAAATATATTACTTAATTTTTTTAAAGAAAAAAAAATGTTCTCACTCCAACGATTTTATTGTTCAAATTGCAATATGTACTTACAAATATATACATATACATCTATTTCTGATTTTTCCTTGTACTACTGCCCCAACGCATTTACATCAACAAAACAAAATTGTAGCACAATTTTTATTTAATTTTGTTTATATTGCTCTCGAGTATTTCTGCTAATAACAAAATGATATCATAATAATTATATAACAATATTTTTTTTTATGATAAATTGTTTATAAAAAAAGTTGTATAATTTGTTCTTAGTGAAGAAAATGTAGAAATTGAAGAAGAGCTAGTAAGAATACAATTTTTAAACACCAAGAATATATTACAGATATTAATAGCAAAACACAGAAAAAAATCACAAAGCAGGATTACTGATGACATTTACAAAAATTTGTTAGAAAGAAAGCGGTTTTCTATTTTGGATTAAAAAAAAATTTTAATTATTCTATTATTTTAGATTTTTTTTAAAACTAGTTATTTGCATTTTTGTAAAACAAAAATTCCTTCCAACATCAACTTATTAAATTAAATATTAAGTGCTTCAGAATAAACAAAATGTCAAATGAAACTTACTCTCATTTTTTTAAATTTATAAACATTAATAAATGAATAAGTTATTATACGCTCAAGTATTCATATAGAAACCTGAATAATAATCCTGAAACGTCGAGACAGAAGAGCCGGTGGCCTCGTGTTAACGTCACAGCACGATTCATCCCCGTTATTAACCCTCAGAGTGACCGAACTTGGTCATTTTATAGACCACGGGTCGCGGATCCATATCGATCAAATTATAGCATCGCTCCTTGACGCATATAGAACGCATGACCAAGTTTTAAAATTCGTAGTTAATTTCAAAGCGGACCTTACACGATCATTCGTGAATGAAAGTCACAAGAATGACAAAGATTGCTCAGTTTTCATTTTAGCTCAGTTGACTTTGAGATAATAGACAGCATGGATCTGTTGGATTGTCCTCATAATGTGTTTAATTTAAAAAGCTTATTTGGACATTGTCATTTAAAGTATTGGACATCAAGAGAAAAATGGAGATATAATAATTACTTCCTAGTGTCCACAGGGGGATCTACGGGGGGAGGGAGGAGGCTTTTGGGCTGAAGTCTCTCCCCCTCCAAAATGGTAAAATATAACCATGTTTTACAGAAAAAAAAAAATTAAAAACTATCTCTTAAAGAATTCTTATTCGTGTAATTACATTTAATAGGACTTCAATAACCACTTAAACACCATTTTATATAGGTAGTTAATTTATTTTATTTTTTAAATTAATTATCATTATATGTATATAAAAAAAAAATCCTTGAGGCTAAAGCCTCCCTCCCCCAAAGTAAATCCTGGATCCGCTAGCGCTTATGCCTGAAAATCGTTAAGACCAAAGTTAGAAAAATATAAGTCAACTACTCACAAAAATTTAGGAAAAGTATTGCGAAAATTATCGATTTCAATCAATGTTAAGAAAAATGGAAAACAAAATGACAAATAAACACAACAGTAAAAGATTTTTTTGTTCTATTAGTAATTCTTTTCTATAAGTGTCCAATTTTTTTTAAAAATTTATTTCCCACTTGATTATTTAAGGAAAAAACGTCTGCCAAGTAAGGTCAATACAAACAAAACTATTATTACTTATTTTCCATTATACTTATATATTATATATTTATATATTACTTATATATTATACATATTACTTATTTTCTATTTTTCTTCTCTCTCTCTCTCTCTCTCTCTCTCTATATATATATATATATATATATATATATATATATATATATATATATATATATAATACTTGATATTTTAACTACATTGTCACCAACTACCACGGGCGGATCTACGGGGGGGGGGGGGCTTTCGGGCTGAAGCCCCCCCCCCCCAAAATGGTAAAATATAACCATGTTTTATCGGAAAAAATACTAAAAAATTATCTCTTAAAGTATAATTATTCGTGTAATTACATTTAAAAGGGCTTTAGGAATCACTTAAACACCAGTTCGTATAGCTACTTAGTTTCTTTCGTATTTTCCAAAGTAATTATCGTTACTTTCATGAAAAAAAAAAAGCTTTCGGGCTGAAGCCCTCCCCAAAATTAAATCCTGGGATCCGCTAGTGCCAACTACAATATTTCTAATATCATCTTTTTATTTCTTTATCAGACAACTTCCTCTTATTTTACATCTACTTATATTCATTTATTTTATTTTCACCATGTTTTGTATCTTTTGTAGCCCTGATGAAGACTTGAAAAGTGGGTCGAAACGTCGGCAAAAAAATTAAATAATATTATTTGTATAATTTAGTATTTATATGACCGCACCCCCCGATCAACTCCTTCTCAAAATTATATTATATATATATATATATATATATATATATATATATATATATATATATATATATATATAAGAACGAATCAAATAGAAACATCCCTAGTCGTTTTTGAGCAGTTTATATTTATGAACGGCTGAGGTGGGTAATGTAGTTGATAATCAAATACTTAGAAAAGAGACATGAACGCTTAAGATGTGAATGAGTAAGAAGAGAGGATCATTAGAGATTGTCATGAAAACTTTATTGCTGACGATTAGCACAATCTAGGCATGACCGCGATGGCCGCCTGGCAGATGGGGCACAGCTTGGGGAGCCTCTTGCCGCCGAAGATAGACCTGCTGGTGGCGATGCTGTAGGCACAATCGTGGCACAGGCACCGGTGCCCGCAGGGGATCACCACTCTCGTAGCCGCGTTCTCGAAGCACACGCAACACCCGGGCTCGCCATCCTTAACCTTCTGTGGTTCCTCGGGCCTCTCGTCCCTCGTCATGCTGAAGAAGAGATCCTTCTCCTGCTGAGCCACTTCTTTAGCTGTCAACTGGTACCTGTCATAAAAATCGACTTATAAGCAGTCCTGCAACAGCATAATATTTGTTGTATAATTTGTATCTTAGTTTTGTAACAGATATTATTTTAAAAATTCTTGTGCGGCACGGGCATGACACAAAATTCACTTACAATCCTATTCTTAGTAGAAATAAGTATTTTCGGACAAAGGGAAGTAAAAGTAAAAATTATCGTACAAAATATTATTTAAAACAATTAATTACCAAATATTTTTCACAGTCGTTTAATATATTATATATAATTTTTTTGTCGCAAATTATTTCCTTTACGACTGTATTTTGTAATTATTTATTTGATTATAACAAATAAAATTGCCATGGAATATTTTTAGCTCGACAAGAGTGCCACTGATGAAGAAGGTCGCTATATTTACTTATATTTCATTGTTGGTATTTTTATTTGTTTAAGCATTGGTAGATATACCGTAGATATATTGCTGCAATATATACAATTAAATATTAAATAATACCAACGCTAGCTTTTGTGAAAACCGCAAATGAATATTGCAATGTATTCTAAGGACCGCATGTCGAATATATTTAATCATTTGAAATGAATAAATATATTCTAAATAATAATTGCTATAACATGGGCGGTTACCGGAGGGAGAGTAACGACCAACTATTGAGTGCAACCTTTTTTAACAAGCAATAAAAAAAAATTTGAAAATTAGCCATTTAAGAGGTTATTGGACATCTATGTGGATATGCGAAGACCTACATTATATTAAATTTAGCTTAATTTTGCACTGATATAATGAATTTGATTAAAACCGTACGGGCCGTATATTATTATTATACTGAAAATATTAAAAATGTGTAAAATCGATGATATAAAGTAGCACTTCCGGTATGCTGGTTTTGACGGAAAAGTTAATGTTAGATCCCAAGCATATATAAACCTTAAATACGTAATTTTTGTTTCATACGACTGTTCAAAGACACACATTCTCCATTTTGCGAGAATTAGTTATTTGGAATCGGGAGACCTCAAAACGTGTATTTCCATTGAAAACTCGGATTCGAAAATTTTCAAGATGACAATACTTTCCCTTACTATATATGTCATATATAGGTAAGTGAAAATAAAAATGTGAAATTAGCCGTTTGTCAAGAATAATAAGCTGATCTAGACGATTGTCCAATGCTTTGATGACACCATATTGTATTATTAAAGTAGTTTAGCATACTTTCTAGCTAAAGGTGAACAAACTATCTCTTAACTTAGAGAAACTACCTCATTCAGTGAAATCCTTACATCCTTTACTAAGTTTCAGTTCAACTTTAGTTCATTATTACTTTGCGATGGGTAAACATTAAACATTCAATTATTTATTTTATTTTATCAAAAGCGAAAAAAAACAAGAGCTCTCAAAATCAATCAAGCTACGAAGACGTTTCCATCAGCGTTATCAACTGCGTATGTACTCAATATAATATCTGTATCAATATGGTCACCTTGAAGATCCGTGAAAGTATGATTGAATTTATCTTGCAGGTATCATTTAACGTTAAAAAAACTATCAAAGGCTACAATGGTTGATTTCCTATATTTATAAATATACATTAACTAGAAAACTAAAACATGATTTTCCACCCATATAGCAGAGTAGATCAACTCTAGTGAAATAATATAATAGATAAAAATGTTCTTGTTAGAAATAGAAATTTCATTTTAAAAATTTATTCTAAACCATCGAATTTCTCTTGCATCCAATCCCTACAATCCAAAATCCTTCGTAAAATCCTTAATGTTCCTTACTTTGTCACAAATAAAATAATCCATAAAGACCTTAATGTTCTATATGTTTCCGATTTGGCCCAATGCAAATACCTATCCTTCTACAATAAACTTCATAACCATTCGAATCCTCTGGTTTCTAACTTTGCTTCCTCCTCGATTTCTGATAATTCTCCGAGGCGTCTGAAAAGAAGATGGCCGCCTGATCTCCTTATGTAGACATATTATTAGAATGCTACCAGTGGGTAGTTTCTCAACAAGCGTTTTCATGTGATTATATTTCTATGTACAGATCTGCTTGATGTATTTATATTAATATTTATTTATGGAATGCATAAATTCAAGGAATATAGAATGATCTGCAAGTTGTTGCAATTAGTTTTTTTTTAAGTTGTTTTAGATTATAGTATATGATACTTCATATAGTTTTCTCTATAAAACAATGCTGATTATTAAACACCAATAAGTGCAAATCGAGTTCCGCTAAATCAAATAGTAACTATTGTGTCGATTCTGAATGTCGAATTTATGTTATGACATAGCTGTCTCTATTAAATATTCAGCTATTTTCCAAAAATAAATATATGACCCTGAAACGTACTGTTTACTGCTGAGAATAAAAAATATACTAAAATGTTCAAAAAGAACTTACTCCACACCAAGCGAACTGCTCTCGTCCATAACAAAGGACGGAGCGGGTTCGTGTACCTCAGTAGATACATAAAATATGGTGAAGAAAAATACATAAAATATGCAAAGAGTTAGCAACCATCCTTCATGAAAGTTCCTGATTGTGATCGAGTCCGGTTATTGTTAACAGCATGTTCCCTGGATATCTTGGGAGAACCAAATGTTCAAAGCTGTCGCCTATAACAGCCCAAAGGTGCTAGAAGACTCATGGCGGGAGCCGAAAGTCATGAGGAATAATAAAAAAAATAATATAAAATATAATGCCTGGTAGATATAAGATGGCCCTCATGACAGGAGAAGAATGGATAGGAATAGTTATAATCCATATATAGATTATACTATATATGGATACTATGAATAATCCATATGGATAGGAATATTATATATCCACTATATTCCCAATGTATAAAATTCATGATATTTTAACCTAATATAGTAGTCACTTATTAACAGGAAATGGGATGGATGACCAAATTCTCGAGATAAACGTTAAATTTGAGCTGCAATAGAATTCAAGTGATGAAAAACGTATATAACATTGAGGTTGAACTTTTTAAACAATAAAAAGAGGTTCATATTTGACTAAAAGCTTGAAATAATAGTTCGTTTAGAATGCGTGGTGGTGAATGGTTGTGTGTCTCGAGTTCAATGTATTGTGACGTGTAAAAGTTACCAGATAATAATATTCATACTTAGGAAAAATCTTCCAGTCTTTTGGAGGATCGGCCTTTCCCAGATCCGTGATCTTTTCGTAATCAACATCCAATACTTCATACATGGATTCGTCAGACTCGTTTGCTTGACTTCCTCTTGCATCGGCATGTCTTCTTCCTGAAATAAGCATCCTATACATATATAGGTATACAGATAGTAAAATCTCTCACGGTTTAGTGAGGAAGGAAGTGACGTCATATACGGTTTAGTGAGAATATGGGAGAGTGACACTCAGATAAGAAATAAATAAAAATGTAAGTAATTATACATTTATTTCATACGAGTACATTCTAGTGAGAAATCTCACCTTATACAACTATCCTTAACCCTAGTGTATTCGATGTATAAGTGACATCAGTAAAACACGTATATTGGTTTATAAAATATAATATCGAGATAGTCTATTAAATACATACGGTAAGCAAAGCCTCATACTTTGTCACGACTGTTAAAAGTAACAATGTGCTTAATAAATGATTAGTTTGTTGATAAGATGCGAAACCTTACTTATTTTATAATATAATCTTCTGTTTATCAGGTTAGCCCGCTCGGCCACCCCACCCCCTGATTATGTCAATCATATGATCCTCCTTTCCAAACTCCAATGTCTGCCTATATTAAATGCTGTTCTAAAATTGTTCCTCTTCTTCTTATTCCATCGCTCCCAGATAGTCATCATTCCTAATGAATATCCTTCTCCACTCCTCCAATTAAAAGAGTTGTCTATTTATTTTAGCAATTTTCCTGGCTCAGTTCATTACTCCTATTACCTATGCTGATGATTTCTAAACCTATCAATCGTTCCAACCTTCCGAGATACATATCCACTGTATCCAGAGATGGATAAGAATAAATGAATTGAAGCTGAATACTGAAAAAAACCAAGGCTATCCTTATCGGTTCCTGACACTTCATCAATTACCGTTTACCCTAATAACCGCCCCATCCATTTTCTCTCAACAGTCAAAAACCTAGGACTAACGTTTGATTAGAACCTCCTCTAGAATAACCATATTTCCGTGACTCTATTACTCAAAAAAACCAAGAAAGCTCTATTAATTAACCTACTTTGTTTTCCCCCACTTTAACTACGGTTTCACAAGATTCTTCTTTGATGTTCCCTGGCGTTCTCGTGTTTCCTGCTGGTACACGTAGTGACTTTAACCTACTTCCCGATGGCGTTTCCTTTTTGATGTGTTTTTTTTTAAAGTCCACAGAACCGAAAACTCTTCCTACTTCCTTTAACTCCTTATTCTGTATTTCTCTATCCACTCGCAAAATACATCTCAACCTAGTGATGTATATAGCCCCTTCCATAAAAGCGCTTTCTTAAGCAAATTCTTCGTTATTTGTGGTATCTCTTTTTGGAACTCCTTACCTAGTCGATCCGTCAATCCTCGTCCACGAATTCCTTTAAACTATTCCCATTCCATCAATTACTTCAATTGAAAAATCCCCAACTAAATAAATATTATTTATTTCCGTAGTTGACTAGTACACCATCGATCGATTGATAAGTTTTATATTTCTTTATGCCAAACTAACTCTATAATTTTTTTTATGGAACTTTAGTCCTAGAATAAAATTATTTTTTCCCTCAATTCACTCATTCATTTAAGTAAAGGGTTGCTATCCATCTCAAGAAATTTTAGATAATAACCAATTACAAGTGCTGTGTCTGTTCCACGTTTTCTCCTTGTTCCGTGGTTTGGATGTTTCTCCACATTGAAACTCCTCAAAATTGTGGACCCCCTCGAACACTGAAAACCTCATAAAAATGTACTCCCTTTCAATTACGCCATGCAACCTATACTTCCGGGTACACCTGTATTAAGTGCAAAATGTTCTAATTTTACAAAGGAAAATTCATCAATGTTCTTAGTGATTTATGTTTATGACTTATCAAGTAACGACTTTTTGAAATAAATTAACAATATATTTTAACCTTCATGATTTATGAAAATGTGAACTAAAGAAACGTTATTATTATACCAGCTAGAGGTAAACATTTAGTCATAATGTAATTTAATCTTTAGTACCGAGAAACGGATGTCCAATGAAGGCACCTGCTCTTCGCCTCCTTCGCCGACGCTGCCTCCTTTCACTGCCGTTCCATCTCCTGCGCCTGGATGTTGGCTCCACGGGGCTCGACTCCCCATTGATTGGACAGCCGGTTTGCAAGGCGACAGTGGCATTGCAAACGGTTTGTGTGTTGTTGTTGTCGTGTTCGGATGACGAGGAGGGCTGAGCGATTCTCTCAGCTCTTGAGGCTTCGGCCACTGCCTCTAGAATAGTCTCGACGATAGGGTACCTTCTTGGCTGTTGTCCATATCGCCTGAAAACTTGCTCGCCCGTGATCCTCCTTATCTGCGTTGGGCGCCCAAAAGTGCGGTTGTGAGGTTCTTGCCTCAGGTTATTTTGGTTTGGATATACCTGAAAAAATGGTAAAATATTCTAGAGCTCGCCATTATTTGTATGAAGCTATTTAGAGAAAACTAGTAATACGATTAAATTTAAAACCGCATAAAAATAATAGAGATTAGTTTTATATCGAAGGGTAAACGTAATTTGATTGGATTTGTTAGGATCATTTTGATTCTCCAGTTTTAAAAGCATTCTTTTAGGGCTATGATATGTGACTGAAGTGTCTAGTATACAGTAGTTGGGCCGTTATTAACTGTTAATCTACATGTATCCTTAGCGTAATTAGTAAAGACATTTCTACCATCATAGCACTGTCTAAGACAGGATAGGTAGAAATATCAGCTGTACAAACCGTGTAGAGAATGAGGAATTAAGATACCACCTTGAGGGACACCAGCGGACTGGGATATATAACGATCTAATCTTAAATTATTTAAAGATGAGTTATGTATTACAAATCTTAAATTTAATAAAGACAATTTACCTGTGACCTACGCGGATTAGCTGCAATAGGAGTGAACTTGACGACATACTGAGCGTTGCTAAGTTCCGGCTGAAGAGTGACCTTGTAGCCTAGTACATCGTCATTGAGCACCAATATGTCAAAGAACTGGTCCATATGCTGTTGTTGGCGTCTTATCCTCCAATCTACCCCTTGCTACTGTAAGAATTGATTTCAGAGCCTATACTAAATGTTTCTGACTGCAATATTAATTAAATTGAAAGTTACTATTTGAATCTTAATTTATGTATTATAGGTAATCCAAAAGTGTTTCTTATTTACAAATAGGTCTATATTCTAGGTTAGGGGTTCTTAAACTTATGAAATCATTCTTGGACGCATTCCTAACCAAATGCACTTCACATAGTTATGTTAATGACTATTTAGGGTTAATCTACAAGAAACAGACACTTTAAGAGAGTTATACAACATTAATCTGAATCACAACTTAAGTTATGACGGTATATGTTTCCAAATGGATTTAATTGACAGCACATTTAGTATTTTAGCAGTTTCTATTTTTTTTTTCCATACATTCAATTAGTTTATTATTCATGAAAAAGACGACCGATCTCTTGGGCCAGTTACTATTAACTTTCCCGCCATTTAAGTACTTCTATAACCTTAACCATGTTCAGTTATATAGCAGGAGCTGACTTACATTCGAAATTTAGGCTACACATGAAACCTGAATTGAACTTGTGCATATATTATAGATCTGTAAAAAATAAATAGTAATAGATAAATATCTTTAATTATTACATCTATGAATGCTATTTCACGATATTATTTTTCTTATTGATGATTTTCATTATTCATTATCTTGGAATTATCAGCATATTCATAAATCTTTAATCTGATATTATTTTCATAAAAAACGTCCTTAACAACTTAATAGTGGACTTTTATATCTAAGAAATCCAAAAATCGACGAACAATTTTAAATCCGACATTATATTCATTAAAAGCTTCGCAACTAGAAAATAGTGTATCCGTATATCTAAGAATTCAAAAAAGTTACATAAAGTTGATGCTTAATCTCAAATCAGACAGTAAATGGGTACAAAGCGCTCCCCCCCCCCCCACTAGAAAATAGTGAATGCTCGTATTATTATTATAATTATAATATAACTTTATTATTATAAACTAGATAGATGACATAAACTAAAAAACTCTTGCTAAAATAAATTATAAATGCAATTATTCCAACTTCTATAGAAAAACTCGAATAACAAATAAAAAGAATAGATTACTTCAAATTATTTATTATCCAAATGATAAAAAAATCTTTTATACACAGTTAAAAAAGAAAATATAGTATTTACAGCATCTACATGTAAGCAAGTGTCAATAAAAATGTAATTTCTAAAATCATTTTTTTTAACAGGCTTTTAAGAAACGACTCAAACATTATTTTATGTATTTTTTCTTTTTCTTTCACAGTGATAATCGTTATAATAAAAATTAATAATTAACTAATTAGTAAATACACAATTCGTTAATAAATTATTAATAAGGAAGTTCCATGAAGGGAATGCGCTATTTTTTTCTCTCAAAAATGCGTGAAAAAGGCTTGTGTAATGGAGCAATAGCTGACGTCATAAAAGACGACACCATTCGGCTGTTTTCGGGATAACATGAACAAGTGTGATCGAAGTGATTGTGAAACACGCGTAATTCGTGCGGAACTCTTGTGAACTACTACCGCTTGCTCTGTTTGTAAGCAAAGTTGAGTAATAAAATATCTTGGGAGGAGGGGGGTATGTTCTTCCGCCATCGACCTTGGAGACGATGGGCATCCCTGGTTCTTAGTGTGTTATATTGAATTAAGACATAAATCCTATCATATACACTAAAATACTATCCAGCATCATAGAAAAATGTATTGAAAGATTTGAGAGAAAAATCCACCTCACGATAACCGGAGCGATCTGGGAGCGGAGTACTAACACGTGGAGAAGAAAGACCAATAAAGAACTGCTTACAGAAACTGGTCAATCAATATCCCTTGATGTGAAGGCACGGAGGTTAAGGTGGGCGGGGCATGTAGCTCGCAGTAATCCAACTAGAAGCCTGTACGATTGAATGTCTCAATAGAAGGCACAAGACAACGTGGAAGGCCAAAAAGCAGATGGATAGATATAATAAAAAAAGATGCAATAGAGCTGTGTGCAGATAACTGGAAAGAAATAGCCCAAGACAGGCAGAGATGGAGCAGGCTTGTTAAGGCGACAAAAGATCTTCCGTAGTGCCAACAGAAAAAAAAATCTACAATTATAAATACTGATATTCATAACTCAATGTAAATCATATTATGTTTCAAACGGTTTTTTAATCTACTGACACGTTTTCGTTTGGCATACTACTCCTCCCCCTCCCTAAGTATTTCATTTCATAATCATTTGAATGAACAGATCTTTTGATTTTAATTCGAAAGAGCTTATTTCTACGATAAATACCTGGGCATAGTTTCTTCCCCTTCTCCTCTGCGCGTAGTAAGCACTATTGCTCATAGTAACTAAATTTCATCTCAAATTATAACTTTTGAATTTGAAATACTTTTTTCTTCTCATTTTTAATACACAAACATCTAGGTTAGAATCATTTCTTGGATATTTTATAAAACACATGAACCTACTCAACATAATAACATGTGAATAAAATATATCAACAGCCTCACTGCAAAAGCCTGTAAAGACGATTTCTTTGGAAAATGAGGATTTGAGCTTCTCTGTACAATCTTGACGTGGCGTATATTATGAACCCTCAAAATGAAATCAACGATGCTTCATTTCTTCTCTATGGCCTTTTGTAAAAACCTGTTACTTAAAAACTAGCAAATTGTGATGTAAGAAACTGTGAGTTACCGTGTAGGTTATAGAGATTGTGTCATTACCGTCATTAACTAATGAAATGCTCAAGTAAATAAAAATGGTGGTCAGGATATGCGCGTTTTTTCCATAGACTACAGTATTAATTGGCTTTATTAATAGGCTATAATAATTTTTTCTCATGGGCTTTGTAATATTTTTTTTAATTTCTAATAAGTGTCGGGCACTTCCAGCCCAGCGCCTCTGGGCAAATGCCCGGATTCCTCTTCCCTAATGCCGCCACTGTTTATCATGGAACTAGATGAAGCAAAGAAGAGAGTGGTAAGTGGAAATATAATATTGAACGGCCTTTAAAATAACTGAAACCTCCTAGCAAGTGCAAAATGAGCTTGCCCAGAAAAAAGCTACAATGCCGCCGAATTCCGGATATTGAGAGACAGAGAATTGATTTCATTAATAGGAAAGTTTAACACAAGACGAAAAAAGAACTTAAGTTTCATTATTAATGGATATTTTCAAACTAATGAATCTTCGAAATCGCAATAAACTCAGAAACGAAGTGATGCACACATCGGCAAGTAACCTAAAACTTAACAAGCATTCGTGAATAAAACCATGTCCATATGAAGTTGAGTACATTAAAAACGAAACCCCATCTAAGCCTCCCCTATAGGGAGAGACAAAAACGTGAATAAATAAGTGGCGGGCACTTCCAACCCGGGTTCCGTTACACTGAGGGCGACACTGCTTACCATGGAAGTAGATGAAGCAAAAAAGAGAGAAGTAAATGGGAATATAACATTGAATGGGCTTCAAAACAATCGGAACTCCAGGCAACAGCATAATGAGCTGGACTGGAAAAAACAACAATGCCGCCGAATTCCAGATACTGAGAGACATAGAATTGATAGATTCATCTTCGCTGGCCAATGAACCTTCGAAATCGCAAGAAGCTTAGAAACGAAGTGTTCTACACATCGGTAAGTTATCTAGAACTTACCAAGCATTCGTGAATCAAAACATGTCTATATGAACTTGAGTTGGTTAAAACGGAAACTTTCATGCATGTGCATGCGCATGAGCCAACCGCCCCTCCAGTGAGAGACAAAAAAGTGATTAACTCGCGTGATCAAATAATCTCTTTTTATTTAGTCAAATGTTTTAGAAGTTTTCATTTGAAGTATCGTTTCTCTACATTTTGGAAATAGCTGTAAGTTAGAAGTAACGGCTCTAAAAGATTAATTGGCAGAAATAATATAAAAAAAGGTAGATAGAGCATTACATCTTTGTCATAGTCCTGCAAAACAATTGAACTAACATTAAGTATTTTTTCTTCTACTGAAAATGTTCAGTTTTAGTTCTTATTGGCTTTTGCAGTGTGGCTGTCTATATACTTCTTCACTTAAGAATCTTTCTCAGTTGAGAAAAATTATCCTTGAAATCTCAGAGCAGTTAACGTCTTATACAATTTACCAAACTGTGATCGATGTTGGAAATGTTTTTTTTATTTTTCCGCCGTGGATAAGAATCACATTGTCAGTGAATGCTAGAAAAGGGGGTACTGAAGGAAATGGAACAATTTTTTATTTAGGTATATTGTTTGGACTAGTAAGTTGGTGAACATACAAGAAGTCTCCACTCCTAGGTGGTGAGCCAGATGTGAGAGTGGGGAGAGGCGCCTAAGTCACTTTTTCGGATTTTCTCTTTTATCAGGAAAACTATCCATCGCATGGACAAAGAAGTTCTATACAAAATTAAAGCTAATAAAATTTTCAATATCATTGATTATATTTTTTCGCTACCTTGCTTAGTTTCCGAGATATCCGTCCTCAACTATCACTAATCCGGGGAAAAAAAAAAATGTTTTACCTTATATATCAAATACAGTAAAAAATAGGAGGCAAATATATTTTTTTTTTTAAATTAGCCAGAGATAAGATGAAAAGGAAGACCTTTCAAAAGATGGGAGACGAAATAGTGCAGAGAGTGGATGATGGCTGGGCAACAGTGGCAAGAATTAGAGGTAGTGGGAGTAAAGTAATAAATACCAATTAAATTCAAAACTTGTATTAATTTGAATTCTAAAGTTAACCATGTTTTATTAAGTTTGAATAATTAAGAAGAAATTTATAAAATATTTTATTTTTATTTTTTGTTAAAACCAGACTCTCACCTCCATAAGAGGAGACTTTATGTTCTATTAAAATGTACAATAAATTTTATATTATTATTGAAAATTTTACCAGCTTTAGTTTTGTATAGAACGCCTTTCTCCATGTAATGAAGCTTTCCTGATATATAAGTGAAAATCTGAAAAAAGTGACCTCATAAGCTTCCCCTCCCCTCACCCCCTAGGAGTGGGGCTTATATTGTTTACATCCCTACTTGTCCAAACAATGTCTCAAAGTCAAATATTGTGTCCCTGCCAGTTCCTTCTATAATCATTCATTGACTGGACTAAAAGGAATTGCTTCATCTTGGCTCGATATTTTCTTTAAGCTGGATTATATTTATTCTATAAAAACTAATTTGGCATCACTTTTGCTCAACAATGTTTCAATAGTTGCTCTGTTTGAATTTGTTTGGAACACTTCATTTTTGGTTAATTATTTTCAATAATGAACCTTTATAATCAACTAAGAAAAAAAATGTTCAGTGCTCAAAATTAAAGATTTTTAAGATATCTTCGGTTTATTACAAAGCGTAGCTATGTTCACTTTTGATGGAGCTAAACTTTTAAGTACGTTTTTGTAAATTTATATAGACATGAAATATGTATATATTTATTTCATATATACTATTGCAGAAATTTAAGTCTTCTCCATTTTGTGCACTAATCTGTAGGAAATTTTTGCAGTGACTTTCAAAATAAAACGATAATTTATTCCATATCTTGTTTGTTTGTTTGTTTCGATGTCTAGGCGCAAAACATCCAGGTCATAAGCGCAATATTCCATATCTTATATCTTATGAAATAAAACTGAATCTTGAGCAACTGCAGGTATCTAGTTCCCGTGAACTTCATAGTGGGCCTGATATATTATTTATAACAAGTTGTTACCATATTGTTGATTTCATTATAGCCTTTGAAAAAAATACTAAAATATTCACATACTTTTTAACAATATTACATACTTTTTTAAATAATTTATTTTGTACAATATTGCACACTTTCTAATTGTATAAACATCTGAGGTAGGGCCTGCATTGTTGCATTACATCTTTTTATAAATAAAAAAATGGATTCATTGCTCACCAAGCCTATACTGAACTGAAGAAAGGAGGAGTAATTCTACGTAAAAACAAGAAGGCAGTGAAGTTTCTTAAGAAACAAACATGCTTCATTATATATTTCATTTATTGCACATCAAAATAAAGTAACAAATAATTCAAAAACATAGTTAAATACTTTCTGAAATAATATAATATATAGTAAATAAATTATGATTAACTTAAACTTATAAAATAATTTATGACCCACACATTACTTATAAAATCTTTAGTAATATATAACTTCTTAATAAATAAATCGTAAGTATAATTATTATTTAACATAAAACATTAATGAAGATATCACATTAAACTTTAGGCTCACTACATTGTATACAAATCGTATAATGCCTCAAATATTTGGTATAAGTGTGTTAAAAATTATACCAAAATTGCATCATATATTCTACATAAGTTTATTTATATATAAAATGTACAACTATCTTTTAATATTTAAAAACAAACACCTGAGATCATTAACTCACACTGTAGCCAAATAAATTATTAGATTAATTCTGAATTTACATAAATATTGCTTTCTTGTAGGTTTAATATTACTCTTATAAAATAAATATAATTTTGTGAGCAAATGGATACCTAACTGGGATTAATTTAAGTACTTTTGCTTAAAATAGTGCCGAATATTTTTAAAACTTTAAACAAACAACAGTACTCAAGTTCTTGATATTAATCATATAAATATTATTTTTTCTATGACCAAAATTAAAAAAATTATTACAATAGATGCAATATTAATCAATCGTGTCACATGAGGTGAATAAGAAAGAACTAAATTTATTTCATAAAATCGGCAAGAATGAGAGATTTAACATAGAAAAAAAGTATCACAAATTAAAGATATAGTTTTCAACATAGATTTTTATCTGACATACCATTTCAGGCTTGTCCAAACATTAAATTAGACATAATATTAGCAATTTTCCTAAAATTGGACAAGCACTGTTTATTATTTAATACAGCTTTCATAATTTCAATAATTTTAATGAAAAAATAAATAAATATATATATAAATCATAAGAAATGCTACAATATCACAAACCTAAAATTGCATTAAATTTTCTATCCTTATTTAATTTCTTTACCAAACTAGCAAGCTTTTACAAAAAGTACCCCAAGTTTGTCCAGAATAAGTTTTTTTTGGTGCAGTAAAACAAAAGCACCACAATCAGTATATGATAATTTGTAAAGATTATTTTTTGAACATGTAGATTAATTTTATTTTATCTGCACCAACAAGATATAACCATAAAATAAAATATTAATAATGCAACAAAAATAAAATCCTGGAGAATAGTTCACGTGATAGTATAAGTAGTTATAGTTAAACTCCACAAGTTACAACCTGTCATACAATTCAAGACAAAAAAAAAAAATTTAAGCAGGTCTATAGGTTGTAAAACAACTCTTAGCAAACTGACAATAGTCGTTCAAACCATCTCGAGCTCTACGACAGATTGTTGCATCTGTTAGTCATTTAAAATAAGTAGATCTCCACTCATCTTAAATTAGGGAATAATTAACATATAAAATATACGATCAGTCTAAATCAAATAATACTGATTAGTCACTGTGAATATCAAAACTGGAATGTCTATAAATACACCACTGTTAAAGAATGACAACTTTTTATAGAAATTGAGTTCTGCATATTGTTGGATCCATATTTTCACATAGAATCAGCATGGGATTATCAAGAGAACATAAAAAAATCCACCATTACAACAACATAACAACTGAGTCATATCTTAAGTGATGACATATTACAAATAATTTAGAAAAAAGTATATACTTTAAATTAGCCCATGTTATTGAAGTAACAATTACACAATAAACTATTTTCCTATACAAGGCTTAAAGAAATATTTGGTGATTAGCATTTATTCTTCTGTAATTAAGCATTATTAAACAATCCTTTGAAGCGAAAGATTAGATTACTGTACAAAATATATCAACCGAAAAAAAAAATATTTTCTTCTTTTTTACTCTATATGAGTGGGATGGGAAGAATTCCTACAATTTTTTCTTATCAGCAACAGGGTAATATTCATATCATAAAAGAATATCAACTTAAAACTGTATACATATATTCAGTATTAATTATGGATTTTATGAAACATTGTCCAAAAAAGATTTTAAAAAAACTTTCAGTTCTTCTCTTGCTGTAAAATAACTCTTTACTCATAGATAGGGATTCCTAATTCTGTTCCCAAGAGGCAGCGCTTTCCCTGTCAATCCTAACCTGTAACAGTGACTACCTGGCAGTTGGTAACCGCATTCGACAGTATTATTGTTAAACGAGTTTTTTTTTTTTTATAATCTATCTAATCAAGTAATTATGTGGTAAAACAAATATGTTTCTTTGAAAAAAGTTGTTATTGATATAGATTTAAAACAATACTTTGCAGTTAGCCATCATTATTTTTCTCATATTTTTTAAATAAAAATTATAAATTTGGTAATTTATTCTTTCAAAATATCTATACAAGTATTTAGACATCCTCACCTATGCATGGTGTACCTTTCATACACGAATCTGTATTGCTTATTTAAATTAATCCAATCTAATAAATTTCCTAATTATTTGCTTAATTGAAAACAACATTTATTAGGACAAAATGTCCTAGCCAAATACGTCGAGAAAAACAAAATTAAAAATGAAATAAAAAAAATTGAAGGCTTGGTATGAAATCATTCCGTTGCCCGGCAATCTGATACATAAGACTGATAAAAAAAATAGTCATGAGTTCGCGTCCCGGTGCACGAAGGAGTTTTTAAGGCCTGGGAAAACCCACATATAGCTGAGGAAGGAGAAAAAAAAAAAAAAAAAAAAAAAAAAAAAAAAAAAAAAAAAAAAAAAAAAAAGCACGAAATCATTCCTAAATGACAGATAGCGACCATTCTGATATGATTTCTTTTATTATAGATAGCCAACGTTCCAAAGTCCAACGTTTTTTTTTTCTTTTTCAGTTTGTAATAGTGTATAAAACTAATGCTAAAAATATTTATAACAAAACCATTTTTTACAATAAATTTTACTTTATTGGGTAATATAATTACGATATATGTATATATATACAGTGAACTCTCAGCCAGCATTCTGCTGACTACTGTGTCCTTTCAAGAGCGTGTACAAGATTCAAGTATGAAAGGATCATGAGCTTCATAAAGAATACCGCAACGAGTTTCAATATTTTGAAATAAATGAGAATTTTAACTCATCTTTTGGTGAGTGAGGAATCAGCACTATTGATTTATCAATAATGTTTCATTATCTCGCAGTTTTCCTAAAATGTATCAGTTCTGGCAACGCTTGTATAAACTGGTACATAATAGTACCACTACATTTTAAAACTAACAATGAAAATAAATATTCTATCAAAATATGAAAGAACATTTCACACATCTCATTAGTTTATAGATAAGAGTTAGATTAATTGTGCGAACTTAGCCTATAACAAGAACGCGTAATGTTCTTTAGCTAACAAAATATACAGTAAAAGAGTCATTTTCACTAGCATCGCATACAACCAAAAGACACATCGTAACTTTAATCCTTTAAACATGGATGACTGCTATCATAATATACATAACATAAACCCTGTTACAGCCTTGCCTTCGACTCATAATACATTACGAAGAAATTTCAGTCACCATTAGCAATGTATAAAATGAGATCAATGTTAGTAATAATTACTGTACCAACGCACTCAACCTATTCGTTAAGGAAACCTTCCACTGCCAGTGCGATAGACTCTTTTCAGATAGCCATCGAAAGTATCTTCGATTCCTCCTGTTTGCTTGTCTTCTCCAATGAAGTACGGTCTGTAGTTCAACTCTTTCATTGAAACTGGAATGATATAAATATAAATTTAACTACTTCATATTAGACTAATAATAGTGCAGTAGACTCTTCTTAATCCTAATTCCAAGGGCTCAAGGAAAAAGTTTGATTTATGGAGTTTTTCAGATAATAATCATATTTTTTAAGGTTAATTGGGTTATTAATTCCCTAAAACATAAAGTAACCTTTACAATAACTTTAAATAACCTTTACTTTTTCATCTATATTTCATGAGGAATATTCTGCTTGAGTTCAATTCGTACAGGGACGTCTATGAATGAATGTTTCATAATTCAATTACAGGGGATCGATTTCATTAGTATTCTCAATTTCAATTTATACAGGTGAGAAGAATTGGCAATAGTTGACTGAATTTAGCTGTATTCATATTAAATTAAACTCCAGTGTACAAACAACAAAATAAAATTCATATTAGAAAAACATAAATCTGTAATATTTAAACATGATGATGATGATAACAATTGGTGGTAAATCCTCAAAGCATATTTCAATAAAATTATACTAAAGAGAGATTAAACAAAAACAAAATTATTAAAATTGGAAACTACCATTAAAACAAATCTATATGTGCAGAATGAACGTAAAATACTATTTTTTTCAAAATTTTATATTGAACTACTAAAATGACTTCAAAATGATAAATTATGCTATACATACCGTCAGAAGATGCATTTATTTTACTATTTCCTTCTTGCTTTGGACGAAAGGTCCTGAAATCCTCTTCAGTAATTTCGATTGATTTGGTAGCGAGGACCTCACAATCTACTTGCATCATAGGGACTGATCCGTTAGCAGCAACTGATTCTGAAATGGTATTACTGTATTGTATAAAGGATAACTTGGCATCAATATAAATAATAAGAACAAGGAAAACAATACATATTGCATTCACGGTACATCCCCAAGAAAAAAAACAAAAAAATGTTCTGAAGAAAACAAAATATTTGCGTATATCTCAAGAAGGATACATTTTGTGGTAAATTCCATTTTTAATTGCTTAAAAATGTACCCTTTAGGGTAGAGGCGAGAAAAAGGAAAAAAAAAAAAAAAAAAAATTGCTTAAATGCTAGTTAAAATCCAAACAGAACAAACAAAAAATTGTATATTGTACATGTAGTACCAAAGACACAATATACAATATATAAAAGAGATAATAACTTTGAACCCGTTTTTAAGAAAGAGAAATCCATTAAATTCTTATTAGTTTTTCAAATAACTTAAAATCTGTTTATACCTGGAATAATCCGTAAACTCATTTGAAAGACAATTAAAGTGTGAACTAAATAAATAAAAATCTTAATTCAAAGATACAGTACACACCAAATATTTTTAAAAACAATTACATTACAAAAATTTAAAACACATTATTTATAACTTTGATAAATATCATTTTGTTAGACACCTAAAGCTGCTTCAATTTTACAATATGTTTTTCAATAGTACTTTGTTTCCACAGGAAATAAATTTTTCCTCAAGCAAAGTATATCATTGAAAAAAAACTTTTGCAGTTCCAGAATGCTTTGGCATTTAATAAAAACATAGTAATATTACTTTACTTAAATCCAATGCCACTAGAGCTTTAAAAATTATAAACAAGTTAATGGTGTCTTCAAGAAAAAAGAAAATGTCTTTGACAAATGTTGTTGAGAGATCATCAGTGTACAAGAACAACAGAATCAGTTTTAGAATGAGAAATTCTAATCGATACTTTAAAAGGAAACAAGTAATTAGAAACAAGATCTTTCAGACAGACTATATTATATTCAACAGTCAACTGAATAAGGACCATTTAATAATAACATGGATTAAAACCATTCCTTTATAATAAAACTGTTTAAAACACAAACTGACTCAATAAAAATAATTAATAAATATATTATCAAATTAATTTTAACAAAGAAATGAATCTCATTTGAAAAAGTAAACTAACGAAATCATTTAAAAAATATTTACACATTAATTTAAATAATATAATTTCAAACCATTGAAAGGAACAGTAGGTATTAAGAAAGACATCTTCGGCCTTAGAGTGATGTCATGAGCCAATGCAGGCACTAACAGATGGTCCGAGGAAAAGGAAAAAACGTAGAAAGTATCGTCTCTCCTGGGTAGGGAACCAGGAAATTTAGGCCTATAGACACCTACAGCACTCGTTCCTCCCTTCTGCCTATAAATCCATATAATTATTACTCTAACATATCATTAGTAATGATGTTGATTATGATAAATTTCATAAAAATAATTAATGAAATGATGGTTTGGGATTATTTTTAAAAATAAAAGAGAATTAATTTAAATTAAAACTAAAAATAATTTATTAATGTATAGCAACTTAGTTCTTAAATAGAAATAAGAACACGGGTAACATATTCTTTCTATTTTGTTATTATAGCACTGAAGGTCAACTAAAATAAAATGAAACAATGGTATACTTTGAAATTTCCTGAAGTTTATGTCTTTGACGGAATTCTCAACGGAATCATTTCTAAAATTTGGTCCACAGTTAACAATTTTTACAAAATAAGAATAAGTTCAACACCAAAACTACACAACCATTCACAATAAAACATGTTAAATATAGTTCACAAAATATATAGACAGAGCTAAGTTGAAACTCACGTCTTTTTTCTTTATCCTCCGATTTTATTTAAAAAATACCTCAATAAATTACAAGATACTAATATAATCTTGTTATGTATATATATTTGTAAATGTTTTCTAAATAAGAGTAACAAACAAAATCTTAGTTTTAATTCAGTACCATATGTGTTCGTGGTCGGTCTACCATAATTTTGTGGGTAAGCTAACTTAGGCACATGAACCAAGTAGTACTTAAGTATTACTTAAATATAAATTAAAAACCAAATAAATTAAGAATAATGGGGAAAGCAAGGTAACACAGACCTTCTTTGTCTTGATATTTGCAATTTTGTTAACAAAAAAAACCTATAACTGTCAACAAAGACAGCTTGAAGATGCTTATCATTAACTTCAAGTTAGGACATGATGGTATACAACGAAAAGAGCTGCATAAAGCATCATATGGCCTGGCTGTTCCAGCCCAGCTCATACGACTCATAAAGCTGGCAATTGGAAAATGTTGAATGAGTGGTACATTTTCAGTACAGTACAGTGGTACAGGTACAAGGTCAGAGCTCATCATCATTTCCATCCAGGAGAGGAGTAAAGTAAGGGGACGCCCTGGTATACCTGCATCTTAATATGGCACTGTAATACATTACAAGAGGCTCTTGAGACTCTCAGGTTCAATCTTCAGGCGCAGTGTAAAATGGAAGATAATGTGTGAAGATTTAAACAAGCAATAGTCGAGGCATTTCTTGCATCGGAAGCTGCTACAAGATGGATGGGACTGATTGAAAATGAGGCTAAAACCAGGTACATGTTTTCGGATCAGACTCCAATATTGAGTCTTGTACTGTGTTATGGCTTGGAAATATGGACCACAACCAGCACTAAAGACCAACTCCTCCTTACATTTAAAGGAAAGTACTATGCTGAATTTATGGTGGTATGTACAAGAATAATGAATGGTGGCGGAGAACCAATCAGGCTGAATGATCTATATCATGAATCAGATATATCATACTTCATTAAGCTTGGAAGAGTGAGATGGGCAGAACATCTAGCCAGAATGCCTGATGATCTACCTCCTAAGAAAATTTTGGTTGAGCCCCTTCATAGTCGTTGCAGAGTTGAAAGACCAAAGTTGTGGTGGGCAGATGGCCCATAACGCAACAAAATATTTGAAGGTGTGAAACTGGATGGCAGAAGTACAGAAAAAAGACACATGGCAGCTTTTGTTGAAGAAAACCAGAATCCTTTATTGGTTGCAGAGCTTTATCAGACGAAGAAATAATAAATAACCTGAAGTTATCTATTATCTTATTATTTGTTATTCAATTTTTTAAAATAAAAGTTTGAATATCTAAATAGTAAACTTGTTTAAGTGAGCATCCCTAAAAATAAAAATAGTGTTAAAAAATTGTCAAATTTTCATTTGTTTTGTCTCTTTTATCACATTAATGGTTGATCAATATCTCACCATTCAAACAATTTTGTGACTGTATAGAGTTAAGCAAAAAGGTAAAATTTTGACAATTTTCTTCTATTACCTCATTAATGGGTGATCCATTTTTCACAATTCAAACTATTTTCTAATAATTTAAAGATAGCAACGAAAGAGTAAAATATCTTCCAAATTTTCATTCGCTTTTTCCTATCAGAAAATAGTCAGAACCATGAAAACGATCACTCATACACAAAATATAAAATAAAGGAAATATAAATAAAAATCGGACATTTTTGTGTATGGAATTGATTGAAAATTTGATATGCTATGATTTATTAATTTTGGTATTATACATTTGAAAGAAATATTTATCTTAAATAAAGAATAATAGATAACAGATGATTCAGATTATATGTAAATAACGAATAAATTATCTGTAAAAAGCCGTTGAATAACGAATAAAGGATAAAAATTTATTTACCAATCAATATAGACAAAAATTTGTTTGAATAATGCCCTACACCGGATATGACAAAATAATCAAGGAGTGGTCTTATATGATTAAATGATAGTACACAATTGAAAATATCTTCCATTAATTTGTTTCTACAGAAGCTTTTAGAAGGATTATATGGAACCGTATGAAAGACTCATTGGATATGTATTACCATAATTGAATTAAAGAATATAATTATTATCAGTACAGATTATAACTTGATACTTAATTGTACTCACCACCTCTGAGCTTTTTTGTAAGATTTAACCTTATTGTTTGCTTTCAAGTGAGGAGATAACTTCATTGGAGGAGGCTTAATATTATTATTTAATATCTTAGTTTCATTTTTATAATTGTTTTCACCTATTTCTATCCATCTCCTCAATTCCTTTTCCAGCCTAAAAAATAAATAAAATAAAATAGATAATAAATAATGTATATTTAAAATTATTTATTATATTATAATTAAATTTATTCCTGTCCTTTCTTTACATTTTTTCATGTAAATACCCAAAATAATTGCTTATGTTTTGATAACAGCTAATTTCTAATTTTTAAGATATCTTCTAAATTCAATCAAATAATCAACTTCCACATGATCAAAACAATGTAATGCGAATTTAAGAATGTTGAAAAAAATATTCAATTTGGTGAAATATCAATAATTGGAACTAAAAATAATGTAACATAGTTTGTAATACATATTTTTCACTACTCATTTATTTAAGATTCCCATTATAATTTTTTTAGAACCGCGTGTAGTACATTTTGATTCAATAGGCCTCAATTTTATTTTTATATTTCTATATTAAACATCTATGATTATTACATACAAGGCTAAAATATATATTAATCAACTGCAATCATAAACATGAAGAAAATATTATTCTCACCTTAAGGACTCAGTTTGATTGATGTGAAGTGGACAAGTTGAACGACTATCGCTACTAGTAATATTTTCTGCGGATTCTTGCAATTCAGGTTGAGCCCACAAGAGTGCGCGCCCGTGCTTCTTGGTACCAGATTCTGGTGAGATTAAATTACCACCGTTCAGTTCATTACTAATACTTTCTCTTGATAATAAGCTGAAAAAAAAATGTATTAAATTTTAAGAAAAATCTTTACGGAACTTGATGTCAGCTGTATAAGATTTACTACAGATCAGTTTCAAAATTGGTTCAATTTACATTTATCACAAAATGTTTTTATTTTATTTTTCACAAGTACTGAAGGGCTCAACATCCTCTAGTCAAAGCAAATATAGCCGTATTAAAAACATCTCAATCCATTATAAAAATGGGTTCAAACTCATCATATATCATTTTTTTTTTTTTCATGTTTCAATTACAGACCCTGAAGATCATTTGCTGCTTCATCTCTGCCGATTTTGGGCTATTTCTTTCCAGTTATTTGCAAGCAGTTCTATTGCATCAATGTTGGTTGGATCTACTCATATGCTTTTTGGCCTTCTACGTGGTCTTTTGCCTATTATTGAGGCATTCATTGTCGCGTAGACTTTCAGATGGATTGCTCCGAGCTACATTCAAACCTTCTTGGCTTCATATCTTGAGATATTGATTGAACAGTTTCTGTTAGCAGCATTTTCCGACCAGAAAGAATGTTTCCCCTTCATGTGTTAATATTCTGATCCCAGATTGCTCCAGTTTTCATGTGGAGGATTTTTCTTTCAAGTCTTTTAACACTTTTTCCATGGCGCTGGTCAGTTTCCAGATTCCACTGCAATATATTAGAATTGACTTTACCACAGCATCGTTTTACTCATAGGATCATGTTGGTCAAATAGGTTACAGAAATAAATTTGTTTGAAGCGACCTGTAAAAGTTTTGAAAATAGATTGGACCAGTTTTGAAACTGATTGTCTTACTTGTTATCATAATTTTTGTGAAGAATAACGTTTTTATATTTTAATTCTGCAAGATATAAAAATGTTTTTTAAGTATACGTAAAAATATTTTAAAAATTAAATTTTATAGTTGGTCAAAGGCAATCTATTACCCAATAGATCCTATGTTGATTGAAACCATAAATAGTACAGCCAGTACAGCAGTAGTCTTTCTCAAATTACTGTTGAGAAAAGTACCCGGTTTTCCAAACCCTTTGTATCCTGTTTCTAACTCTTTGATTTTTATTTTAAGCCTTTCATTTTCCTTTAAAAACAAAAACAAAATGAATTAACAATCATAGAGAAAAGTGACCATTAGTAATCAAGGCCCATAGATAAAGGAAGGTTCATTAGATTAGCTCATCATCTATCTTGGCATCTAAATGGTCTTAACAATTTAAAGGAATTGTTAAGGAACATAAACAAAAGAAAGCAATAAATGTTAATTATAAACCAAAAATATTGTTAATGGAAGAATGTGTACAATTTAAAAAAACATTTACTAAGGAAGAATTGAGGAATGTTCGTAATGCCCTTAAGGTATACATTTAAAAGTAACCCTAAGTAAGGTGTTTCTAAGAAATCTTCAAAAATATTTTTAAGACACCGCAAGAAGAATTTGTTTTTTATTCTACTTAGTTTTCATTATTAATATTAATACAATATTATCTTCTGTTGACTTATTCTTTATCTTTAATTAACGAAAAAATCTGGTGTGCACAACACAAAACTTCACTTACGCTCTACTTGAATATAAATTATTTTCTGACAGTTGGACCATTTCTGAAGTGCATTTTTAACCGAACTAAAGCTTAAAGTTTACTGTTAACAAATCATTGATACCATTAAAAAAACAAAAATCCGATTGTGTGATCTGTTGATTGTGGATTGTACAACTATTAATTATTAAACTATGTTTTACCATTAATGTAATTAAGAGATTTGGATTTTCTGTCTTAGATAGGTCAAATGTTGTCACACTAATTGTAAGTGGATACTGTTAGGATATTACATCATCATCATCATCATCATCATCACCATATGATATGATGATATCCTATAGATATCTAATTATTTAAATATAATATCAGATCTAGAGTTATTAAACTACAGTAAATGTATTTAAGGTTACAGATTCATGAAATATTTTTATATTTCACTTTTCCTTTCAAACAAGTACAATGAAATAGTATTTTAAGCAATGCCATTGCCTTGATTCGGTGGATTTTAAATACTTTTTTCAAACTTAAAAAAAATTTTAACGTTTACATTTAGTAAGAAAATTTCATTTAATTTTCTTGGAAACATGTGATCGACGTCAAATAATGTTAGATTTCAGAAATTATTATTTTTATTTTTTCCTAACTCTCCATCACCTTCTACAACTTCAGATATTATTATTATTAATTACAACTTTAGATACTATTTTTGTAAAATTCACCGCCTTCCAACAATATATTGTATGTATACCTTCTGACTATTATTTCCGGAGATTCATTTTCGATCTGGATACACATTTTTCTTTTTTTCTCCTTTATTCAATTATCAAATTCTTTCAAAAATTATAATTAGCCAGTTTTTATAGATGGCAATAGAGTTATTATTTAAAAGTAAACCAAATTATTATAGGTATTTCAGAGGAAGACGTATATGAACATTGGGCATTTAAGTCCTCTAAAGTGACATCAATGTGGATAAGATCTGGTTGATATTAAAAACAACTTAATAATACACCGATATACCAACTTTAATGAAAATGGTTAAAGCCGTTTTCGAGAAAATTGTAAAAATGTGTATCACCGTTGATATAAAGAAATACTTCTGGTTAGCCGATTTTAACGAAAAAGTTGCTGTCACATTGAAAACTTATACAAACCTTAAACACAAAATTTAAATTTTATACGACTTTCCGTTTTTGAGCTAAGCTGATCAGAGACAATTTTGCAGGATTTGGTTATTTCGATCCAGAGGAGCTCAAAACATGTATTTCCATTGAAAACTGAGATTGGAAAATTTTCACGATCACAATACTTTGCACTTTCCCTTACTATAATATATTCTATATATAGGTAAGTGAAAGTAAAAAATTGTTAAAAAATACTGTATACAATTGAAAGGTTATCTCTCTGAAGAATGATATTTATACAACAGCAACAGTTTGAAAACTACTAAATACAATTAAAATGACACTTGCTGTGAAATTAGATTTCTAAGAGAAACTAGTCAAGCAATAAATGTTGTACTAACCTCATGTTTGAGTGATGTATTAAATTTCATATTTTTTAATTTTTATAAAATTTATAAACTAATTAAAGAAACTTTCGCAGGCCCGATTGGACAATCTTGTCTATGAGCCCTATTTTGAAGACCCCTTCAGACTATGAATGACTAACAAAAAACTGAGAAAATGAAAAGCATTTCAAACAAAGCCACTCATAATTCTGTATAACACAGTAATGCATAAAGCTTATACAAAAATGTACAATTATATTTATTTAGAATATAATTAATGAAATTTTAAGAAACTTCTGTTTGTTGAATTTTTAATTTGATTATGTTTATGCTAAATAAATAATCAAGAAGAATTATGTTTCTAATATAGTACAGTTTTATACTATCTTAAGGTGCATCGTATACATTTGTATGGAATTTACCAACAAATAAACCATCCTTTCAAAAGAAAAAAAATGCGTGTGTGTACATGTGAGTGTATGTATATCATGAAGCAACATTTACAAAATACTCGCTTTCTTGACTATCAATGGGAGGGACTGCATAAGCATAGTCATTTGGAATTTTTTTCTACAAGCTAAAAATGATTATACATTAATCAAGAACTTAAGAAAAATTTTAACTTACAACTTTTAGGTGTGAATTTTCAGTTTCTAGATCAGACACCTTACTTTCTAAAGCAGTAACGTATTCCTTCTTTTTTTTTCTTGAAAGGCAGGCTGATTCTCTGTTCTTTATCATCCTTTGCTGCCTTTTCAATGCCTTCAGCTATATTAATAAAATATTAATTTTAAAAGGACATAAACATTTTTTAATCTAAAAAATATCCTTAAAAGAAAAATAATTAAATAAGAAAAAAAAAAACCTTATAAATAAGGATTTCACCTTAAGAAAGATTCTTAAGATAAAAAGAACCTTAAGATAAAAATTGGATTTAACCCGACCCCAATAAATTGAGAACTACATTTGATGTTCAGGTCCTACTTTATTATATAAAACATTTCTACTTCAAAGCCTATTATGAAAAAATCAATTATATATATAAAAAAAAGAAAAGAAAATCAAGAATCAAAAAGAAAAAAAAAATCAATTATATATATATATATATATATATATATATATAATTGATTTTTTTTTCTTTTTGATTCTTGATTTTATATATATATATATATATATATATATATATATATATATATATATATATATATATATATATATATATATATAAATACATATATATTGCATAGAATTATAAAACAAAACATATTATTGATTAACCAGTAATATCTTTAAATGAGGTGTTGACATGGAAAAGGTAGTAAGTAAAAAAAAATCATTTTTCATATTTTATCATTAAAAGGTAGTAATTAGTCATGCCAATGGTATGACTGGTACTGGTGGGAGAAATTAGTCCTGCAAGTGGGCCTATGTGGTCCTTTTTTGCCAACTCCTGACTTCCTAGTGCTTACCAGATTAGGAATGGCATGATCCAGTTCCTGCGTCCACAAAGAAATAAAAAGTATTCGACCAAGGTGGGAATCAAACCCACAACGTTCAGAACTGGGCACTATGGGACCCACGTTCCAACGTGCCAATGGTTTAGAAGAGTATGTAAAAAACTGAGAGTGGTTTAGTTTCTATGAACAGTGGTAGATAATATTATTATCAAGAGCACTCTACAGTGGCAGGGACATTGGAGTAAGTCAATCTGAATTGTAATCTGCTGATTGTTGGCTTTTAAACATTGATGATACCATCAAGAGTACCATGTGCTTGTGGCATGAAGGCATGGCTGGTCGCGGAAGGAATGAAGTCGCCTTTTGTCTTCTAATGGCAAACAAGTCTGACCAAATTAAATAAAAACAGGATGGTTCTAAGGGTTTTAATCAAAGCTGTGGTGAAAAATATTTTTTATGATATCAATCTAAAATTTCTAATGTCAGAGCATTCATATATGCCATGCGATCACGATTTTGGCAAAATAGAGAAGATGAATAAAGTTACTAAGTTTTTCCTCATTATGCGATGTATTTTTTTAATACATACAAATGAGAAAAACAATAAATGAAATGGAAGCTTGGAGTGGGTACTACATTTTAAAGGAAAAGAAATCCATCAACGGCATTTCAGAAATTAGTTCTCCAATCCATTGAAAAAAAAAATCAATTATCAGTAATCCAAAAAAAAAAAAATCTCAATATTAGAATTCATGGATCCAAAATATCAAACATTTTACCAAAATTGTTGTAACGTTTCTAATAATGTAATACCTTGATATATGGATGTTCTGTTACTACTATACAAATAAAACTTTCATATGTAGTTGTCAAAGTTTTTTTTTTTTTCATTTTACTTTTATTTATTTTCATTCAGGGATGTGAGGGATTGGCCCCTATTGCAGTGGAGGGAATGCCTCCTTCAGGCAGCTACACCTACCTACCTTGTGAAATTTCTACCTTCGAGGTAGAACACCAACAGGACGAAGAGCAGTGTGGCCAGGAGTACTGATGAGTACTGAGGAGGATCCGACCAGGCAGGAGTACTCATGATCACATCTTTGTGCTACACCAAATATGTAAGAAATTCTTCGAGTACGATAAAGAGATTTACCTGTTTAATAGACTTAGAGAAGGCATTCGCCAGGAAAACCAAAGAGACACCACTTGGATATGGGAAATTACAACCAGTCAACTGTTCATCATTTTCATTTGTTGATGACATTATGCTAACGACTGACCGTTAAGAAAAGCTACAGGCAAGTTTATATGTCTGGAGAGAAGAGTTATCAAAAAGAAATAGGGTCGTTAGCACTTCCAAGACCAAGTTTATGCTGGTGTCCAGAAACAAGAAGAATTTTGGAATTCACATTAATGAGGATATGATAAAGCAGGTTCCTACGTTCAAGTATTTGGGTGTGACAATCAGTGAGAGCACGAAAATCAGAGATGAACTTAATACGAGAGTTGCGACTTCAGGAAGGATTTTCTCTGCCATCAATAGGAAGTTTTTAAGTAAGAGAGAAGTGGCAAAAGAAACAAAATTAGCCATCTATCGCTTGACGTTCACCCTATCCTTATGTGATCACAGCCGCCTCCAAAGCATAGAAATGGTATCTGAGGAAAATAAAAAGACCAACCACATAACACAACCATATGGACGATACACTGAACACTGAACCCCTAAACCAGATGATAATAGAAAAAGGGCAGCTTTGATGGTTCGGTCATGTAATGAGGATGGATGATCGCCGTTCAACAAACAAAATTATGGAGACTAAAGGAGTGGGAAAACGACCTAAAGGAAGACCAAGAATTACTTGAGAAGATAATCTAGAAATATTCTTAAAGATAAAGGAATTGGATGGAAAGAAGCCAGGAGAGCAGCCCTGGACAGAGACAGAAGGAAATCCTTGAACAAAAATCTCTACACTAAAAGGTAGAAGAGATTATTAAAGAAGAAAAGGGTTATTTTGCTTCTCCTGTAAAATTACTTTTTCAGGACTTACTACATTTTCCATGTCAATGCCTCAACACCCAAAACTCATAACTACTATATTTCTGAGATTTAAAAATATATATTTCAACTCATTATTCTGGAGATATTTTCTAAAGAAAAAGACAACACAGGTTTCTTACAGAACACTAGCAGAGAGGAGATGTTTCTAAAGTAGATCACTTTTATTTGAAGTGATTGTTTATAATATAAACAAGTAAAAATATCACTTGCAAGATTTCTGATACTAAACTTGCTATTAAATAAGACAACAAATATGTTATAAACAATAGCTGTACTCACATTAATATCATTCTTTAATGAATAATCTACACTCTCTCTTTTAAGAAATGGTGCTGGCGCAATTGGTGGACTAATAGAGTCAATTTTTATATTCGTCGAATCAGCTGGACAAATTGATATTGCTGGAGTCTGGATATGATTTGAAGGAAGAATAACAGGAACACCGATGGCTACATAAGGAAAATAAACCAATAATAAACTCAGTAAAAATAAATCTAAAAAAATAATCTAGAAATATTAAGACAGACTTACATAAGTGTGACTTAACCGAAGAAACAGGAGGTTTAGAAATTTCCTTTTCTGTTTTACATTTCATAACTTTTTGAAGGACATCTTTTGGAAGAACTATTTGAGTCTGTTTACCTACCGGTTTTAAACCTAAATAAATGAAAACAAAAATTTACAATTTTATTCTTTAGGTATAGTATTTAAGTAATGATAAATTATCTGTTTACATCCAGCAGATGTCACTGTAGTAGTCATTTATTGAATTATTTGATACAAGAATACTTTGATATTTTGATTTCAAATTGTTGAAGCAAAGGAGTTAACCTATATCCTTCAAGAAATTAACTATGATCAATTATTAGAGTCACTTTCCTTGAAAATCAATTAAAGAAGTTAAATTATCTATTGAAAGATATTGAATGCATCAATTTTAAAATATTAATTACAAACAAAATTAATTAATGATCGTTTTCACATAAATTCCGATTACTTTTTATCATGCTACGGTTAGAAACTTATTCATGTAAACTAGCTATTATTGTATTGTTGATACATAGAATTTGTTGATAAAAATATGGCAAACAGAAACATAATTTTTTTTTTTTGTTCTCCCTTCCTCACCTCTCAGCCTATACTGGGTATTCACAGGCCGAGGGGGGAGGGAGATTAATGAAAATTAAAAAACCCACACTGGCATCATGACGTGAACTCGTAATTATTCTATTATCTATAATTTCGGTTATTAGGTTACGGGGCAAAGTGCAGTGCTCTGCACAGGCATTAGCTTGCTCAGCCAACCCATCCCCTCAAGGTTCACCTCTTTTTGTGGGCAAAGTCAAATGTTGGTTACCTTCTAAAACTTTCAAACTTAACTGCAGAGTAGGGATTCTAAAGTAGACACCCCCTTAGATATTTTTTTTCCTGGACACCATAACAATCCAACACATTTTTTGTTCAAGTTATATTAAAGGGCTGACGGGACCTGACAAGTTGGGTAAGAAGTAGGAAGTCGTGTCGCTCTTTCCGACCTACCTTTTTTTTTTTTCGTCCTTACTTTTGACATGCCATGTGCTCTCTCCCTCATTTTCCCAAACATAAAATCATTGTTTATTTCTTTTTATTATAAACAAACATAACATGATGGACAGGTATATTAAAGTACTACAGTCGACAAAGTACAGAAAGGTTGTCATGTTGCCACTCTTTAACATAACTTGCGAATGGTTGGGGGTAACAATGTCCTAATCAACTTGTCAGGTCGTTCGGGTTATCTAAAAAGCCTTCAATAATTAGTTACGTAACAACAAATACAAAATATGTCAACTATATAAGGTGTTTATTTTTATTTTAAAAAGTATCGACCAAAGGAGCCTAGTTTAAGAACCACTGTTCTAGAGTATCATAATCTCCAAATATATGTTTGACGTTTTGAGTTACTTCTTGTATGTATACAATGTACTTATAATATTTCATTTATATAAATTCTCTCGTACATTGGTCAGGTACCTTTACAGTTTTTTTTTTTTTCATAATTTACAAATAGAAATAGGAAATTAAAGTTCAACTAGCATTTTTAACTTAGCATACTACTTTGACGGTGAATATTCACTGAATAGAATTGGTGAATAAACTTAGCCTGTAAAAAGCATCAGCTATTTGTTTTATTTCCTAATTAAGGAGTAGAAGTAGAAATTTGGAAAATTATAATAATGGACTGTTTCGTTCAAACCACTTTAAATTTAACTCTCAAATGATTTGCAAATTAAATTAAAAAAATATTTTAAAATGACTTAAAGAGTGAATCAATAAGAAAGAAACAAAATATAATAATAATACAATAAAAAGAAAAACAATTTACCTTTAACATTTCTAATGATCTTAATATTATTTGGATTAATCTTCAAGACAGTGGATTTCTTCTGAGTTGGCTCTCGAGGAGTGAATTGCAATGGTGTACATGGAGAAAATTCTTCTCTTGGAGGAGAAACAGGTGGAGTTTCAAGAGTAAACTAACAAGAAAACAAAAACTATCACCAAAATAGAAAAACAAATAATTATTAACACATATACTAGCTGATCACATCTATGACCGGTAAAAATAATAATGAAAAAACAATTCCGCAGTTCACCTATACAAAAATTACAAACCAAATAATCATAATCAATAAATGCAATGAATTGAAAATGAAAACTTCTTATTTAAGTTGTAATAATTCAATTTACACAGTAGCATTAGTTGTGTTACAATACTTTTAAGAAATAAATTGATTCTTCGGCACACACTATTACTCATGTTTAATTTGAAAATTACTTACATTAATAATTACATAATATAAACAAACATCGTTTTATACATTATTATTTAACATATTCCACATTTATTCTCAATGTAAATGGAAAAACAACTTCTGTAATTAATTTAATACCTTCTCATCAGATGAACTACTGCTTGTATCACAATAATTTATGCTGCTAGGTGAATCAGCAGGTGAAAACACCTCAGATTTAATCTCAGTATCATCATCTGTAAATAAACAATAGATAAGATGATTATACAAGCAATATCCAAACATTTTCAAACGATGTGCAAGAAATTACATACCTATTGAATGAAGATCCGAAAGTTGAGGAAAGACTTCAGGCCACTGAGAAATACCATCATGTATCAATGAGTCGAGAAATGATGAATCCAAAACAGACTTTGTTTCGAAGTTATCATCAGGTAATAGCATCTGAACAACAGAAACATCATTTGATAACACTTTTTATGAAGATCTCTTATCTACATGCAGTTTATTTTACATGTTATAAATGATGGAGGACAAGGAAAACTTACATCAAAATCATTATTGAAGTTGTCAATAATTTCCTCTTCTTTAGTTAGCAAATATTCCATTCCTAAAATATAAATTCATTGATCAATGCAACAGAACAGGAGGTAAAAGACTCTCATGTAAAGGTTACTTTGGCCACGCTTCAATCGTTACCTCAATTATAAACTACTTGACAATTAACACTGAGTGATAATAATTATCAAGAACGCTAACATAATATTCTAAATGGTATTGGGCAAATGTAGCAATGCCAAAAAAGTGATATTTCATCAAAACATTGAATGTTTATAAAATGTTTGACGTGTCTCCTTTAATTATAATAAAATATTGTTACGATTTTTGTATTAACGTGGCAAGCGAACGTACCTTTACACAGAGAAGATAACAAATCATAAACGTTTCACTAAGACGCCGATAATGGAACTGTTATTCAGTTGATAGCATACTTACTCTTCATTAGTAATCCAATATATGAAGAATTTTTGTTGAAAACAAGAACTGTCGAAATAAACTAACTGATTATTTGCGGTACCGGTAAAACATTTTTAACGGATTCGGACGAATCCAATGTTCCGGGTTGACGAACAGAATCAAACGTTACAAAACAATGTTGAATAAGACGCATTAAAGTACAAATAACAACCTACTGAGGATAAGATAACAGGCTAAATTTGTTAAATAACATATTTATGCATACATAAACGACTGCTTAATTCGTTTTAAATGATAATGTACAAATTATTTAATAAACAAACTAAGCCCTGCTACGTTACGATGGGTAACTAAACGAAGTGGCATTGAACAACGGGCATTGACCTTCATCTCTGTTTGCAACTTCTGAAAACTTCGTCTTACCGAAAATAGCCTGTTTACAAATAGAGCAATTCGGACAAGAAAAAAGAGCTCCTATTTTCTCAAAACAATAAAACACATTTACAAACAATTTATAATTAAAGAATTTTACGAGAACACGACTCTCAATATTACAGCTCTGTTTATTGTCATTGCATTTCCTAAAATGACATTTGCGTCTAAAAATAAGATCTGGAATATGCAATCACACCTGTAAATTAATGACGAAATATCTATATATTTGTCATAACTGATTGCTTATGTTGTTTGGTACATCAGATAATTGTTTATATTTTATTCGATATTCGGAGACTCTGAAAAATATTATAAAGAAAACAAAAACGCATACATGAAATTTATTTTTTCTTTAGTGCATCCAACCATACCTAACTTAATCAGCTTATATCAGGGGTTTCCAAACTACGGCTCGGCCGCACATTGTAAAAACTATTTAAAAAATCTAGTGCGCGCAACACACAACTTTCACTTACCGCTCTACCTTGGATAGAAATTATTTTCTGGCAATGCTGGGCTATTATAAATTTTTTATTAAAATTAAGACCATTAAAATTGTAAAAAGTCTATTTATTATATCGACGGTAGGCAATAAAAAATGTAGTTACTCCACCTGCTTTTATAAACCACACAACTTTCTTTGCTTTTATAAACCACAGAATGACTAACTCCAATTTCAACATTTTTGAGTAATGTCATTTTAGTGATATTTTTAGTTGAAAAAGTTAAAATAGAAAAAAAAAAGAAAAAATGCAGACAGTGAGTAAGTTGATTGCGGAGGTGGTGATTGCAGTGTTGAAATATAGAACTGAGAAGAAAGGTATAAATTTAGGTACTTATTTCTTATGAAAGATGTTCTTAGGAAAGGTACATTATTAAATATCTGTACAAAAAAATGTTTTTTTTATTCTCAGCAATTAAAAAAGTATATTTTAAATTAATCCAAATTTTCGCCTCTTCAGGGATAAAAACTAGAGACCATATCTCTCCACCTAATTGTCAGATTTTTTAGGAAATTCCATAATCTTTTAAAAACTATATACAATATCCACAAAAAAAGTTTATACTTTTTGAGTTATTCGGAATTTAATTTTACCATCACTCGTAATTTTTTTCCAGCTTCTTTTCGTTGAAGTATATAGATAAATTTAAAGGGTGTCGAGAAAATGACTTAAGCGAAGTTTCATTGAAATCGGTACATTCATTTAGGCACTACAGTCTATAGCAACGCAGATTTTCTGCATTTTTTTTTTCTCTTTTATTAACTAATCAAATTCTTTCAAAAGTTATATGTAGCATTTTTTCGTAACTCTGAATAATGCGAAATGGTTAACTTTTTAAAATAAACCACATTAAAGATACTTTAGAGGAAGACATATATGAACATTGGGCATTTAAGCCCTGTAAAGTGACATCAACGGGAATAAGACCTAAATGATATTAAAGACCACTTAATTATACAATGATACACCGAGTTTGATCAAAATCGTTAAAGCCGTTTTTGAGAAAATGTGTTTCAGCGTTCATATAAAGTGGCACTTCCGGTTAGCCGATTTTAACAAAAAAGTTGCTGTCACATCCGGTCCATATTAAAACCTTAAATACTTAATATCAGTTTAGTGCTACTTTTCGTTTATGAGCTAGACTGTTAACACACACACACACATACACAGACCATTTAGCGACACTTGGTTATTTGGACTCAGGGGACCTTAAAACATGTATTTCCGTTGAAAACTGAGATTCGAAAATTTTCACGATCGCAATAATTACCCTTAATATATATTAAGTATATACGTAAGTGAAAGTAAAAATATAAGTTTAGCAAACTACCCACAGGCGAGATTACTTCAACATTTATTAAATTTTTGTTTTCTCTTAGAAAGCTCATTTCACAACTGAAGGATTATTTATAGATCAAGATTTTTTTTTTCATGACAAGCCATGGACATAAGTGGAGGTCTCAATGCGGCCCGCAGGACATTGTGTAGGCCTCAATATGTTTAGATATCAAAAAAGTTTGGAAACTCCTGGCCTAAATCATTAATTAAGTTTAGATTCCGAGTACCATATAACCCTCAAAGGATGTTTCACAATAATTTTTGAATATTCAAAACCTTTGCTCCTTAAAATGTAACGGGTACAGCACAAAGAAAATGTATTCCCCACATTTCCTATGATCTTGCCTTCTATATTCAACTGTTCAGTGATTCAACCTTTGTATCTACTATTTATTTATTTCGACTCTTTAATTAAAATATATACAAATAATCAAAGCAAAATGTTTAATTTCTTTTGGCTCCAGACAAAGTGATACCCAATCTTCAATATAATTTCCAGAGGAAGCAAAATAATGTTCTGAGAAGGAGTTGATCGGGGGGTGCGGTCAAATAAATACTAAATTATAGAAATAGTATTATTTAATTATTATGCCGACGTTTCGACCCACCTTGCAGGTCTTCATCAGGGCTACAAAAGATACAAAATATAAAAGGTACATGGTGAAAATAAAATAAATGAATAATAAGTAGATATTAAATAAGAAAAAGTTGTCTGATAAAGAAAAAGACAATTTTTTCTTATTTAATATCTACTTATTATTCATTTATTTTATTTTCACCATGTACCTTTTATATTTTGTATCTTTTGTAGCCCTGATGAAGACCTGCAAGGTGGGTCGAAAAGTCAGCATAACAATTAAATAATATTATTTCTATAATTTAGTATTTATTTGACCGCTCCCCCCGATCAACTCCTTCTCATATTATATCACGGTCAACCATCTCTACATCAAAATAATGTTCAATATTAAATGTATAATACGAAAATAAAGATTGACCAATTATTATAATATGAAGTACGAAAGATAAAAACGTTACTATCTATTTATAAGAAACAGAATATTCACAGATTATTAACATAAAAAGTTTTTTAAACAATCTCAACTTCATTCAAATTGCATTAAAAACAATAGGAAAGAGCATTTATGTTAATCCATAAACAATGGTGGAAATAAGGGTGATTTGCCGGTGAGAAAACAATTCACTATTCTAAAAAAATACACAATTTTAAATTATTAATATTTACAAGTGTTTTGAATTATAAGACAATAATAATTAGCCTCTTTGTAAAAACTTCTAGTTGCAAGTTATGAATTTCATTCTTAAATGATCTTATTCATGAGTTTAAAATAATTCGAACACTATTACTCTTTAGGAATTTCCTGTTAAATCCATTTTCAGGAAGTAAACTGACTTTTGTTTAGGTAGTCATACCTTATCATTGTTTATTTTTTATTTTATGTTTATTGTTTATTTTATCATCTTAGTTTTTATTATTATTTTGTTTTTATTCTTTTGTTCTAGCGCAATTGACCTTGGATGGGGAAGGGGGGATGGGCACCTCTGTTAATTATAACGCAGGTACTTCAGCTACTAAATGTAAGTTCTTGTCAAGAAAAATACAAAACTTTATTTTAAGTTACCTAAAAGCATTACCTATAATTGGTAAAAAAAAATTAAAATGAAATAAATCATTATTATATAATGATTGTTCAATTATTCGATTTGATGAAGAAGCAAGGATGCCCCAGATGGGGGTTTCATAGCGCCTAGTTGCGTCATCAAAATTTTTGAGGGGACTTATTTTGACGGGCTTTTGAATTTTTGAGGGAGGAACTTTTCGAGAGAATTATTTTCGGAATGAAAAGTTTGAAATCAGGGACGAGAAAAAAAGATGGAACTGGTCGCAACAAGTGTTATCTACGATCTTTCTTATTTTACTTTTGCATGCACTATTTTTAACAAGAGGTGAGTATATAATATCTTGGGAGAGGAGGAAAAGGTTCATTTGCCATCTAATTCAGAGGGGATTCAAATACACCGAAAATAAGAGTTAAAAATGTATATTATCAGGAAATTACAAGACTTAGGCGCAGACTGCGGGGCAACGAAAGGGGTGATATACTCCTTAGATGTGACAACTTTTTCCTTAAAATTGTCTAACCGGAAGTGCCACTTTATATCAACGCTGAAACATATTTTTACAACTTTCTCAAAAACAGCTCTAACGATTTTGATTAAACTCGGTGTATCATTGTATAATTAAGTGGTCTTTAATATCATTTAGGTCTTATCCCCGTTGATGTTACTTTACAGGGCTTAAATGCCCAATGTTCATATACGTCTTCCTCTAAGG